TCCCCCTTGTCCTGCTAAAGCAACGCTGCCGATTTAAATGTAGATTTCGTTGCGTCCAGCGCCAGCCGCGTTATTGACTAGTCGAATTTTAGGCTTAAAGTGGGAAACGAATAAAGAAAAATTACAATTTGCTCCTGACAATGCACTTGCGAAAACCCAGCGAGAGAGTTTGCGAAAACCAAGTCAAGAACTAAATTAAATTGAACATTGAAGTCAAACAAAGTCTTATAATAATTCAGTATGGTATAAATCAAAACATCAGACTTCAACGTTTAATCAATAATAACCAGGGTTTGAAATCGACAGAATTCGTTTTCATCAATTTTAATTATTCTTTGAATTACGATCCTCATTTGACTGAACATTTTTGGGCAAATATTAGCGAAAAATAAACAAAAAGTTGGCCGAATAAGAAATTGAACAGGAGGCGAAATATCCGCCTCGCTACACTGAAATTACGACGAAAATCAACGCGGACGATGAATCTGATAAAAGCGATTGGCAAATATAGGGGGGGGGTTGATAATATATTGATTTTTCATAATTTTGCTACGGCTTTCAATCAACGCAATTTGCCGCTTCAATATTTATTAATCAGTCGATCAACATTTTTTCAGTCTCATCAGGTTCGTCGAACGAAAGCGACAATTTCTGATCAATTAACAGCTGAAGTGGAAAATTGGCAAGAAAAAACGATTATGAGTCAAAAACGGAGCTTTGAGGATTCAAAACGAAAGTACTTAACCGAGTTGCTTATGCACAATTGACATATTTGTAATTTAATCGGTTTTTCTACAACCAATTATTAAAAAATTATATGAAAATCGTGTTTCTTAGTGATCTTGAACCGCCTTTAGACACGTCGCAAATTAGAAATTTTGAAAAACTCACTGATAATGACGCAGAAATTAAACTTTCATAATTTGTAAGGAAAATTCTACTGTTTCAAATGCAAAAAAATACTTTTTGGTAATCAAGTCGATTTTCCTGGAATGAATGAATAGAACGCGTTTCTAGTGAATTTAAATAGCCGCTTTTGCACCCGTTGCAAGTTAAAAAATTCTCAAAAACTTCCTGATAACGGCTAAGAAAAGAACCTCTCAGGATTCATAAGAAAAATACTGCCGCGTTCCTTATCGAAAAATGCTTATCTTCCCGATGAAATCGGTTTCCCTGCAATTAATTGTTAAAAAACGCTTTTGCTAGGGATTGCGAGTCAGCTTTGGACGCGTCGCAAGTGGTGAAATTCCGAGAAAATCCTTGATGATGCCTCGGAAAAAAACTTTCCAAATTTATAACGAAAACATTGGAGTTTATAATTCAAAAACTTGGACACCCCACAAACTACTTTTACTAAAAATAACTGAAAAATGGGAGATTTTTGATTGATAAAACAAAAGTTGATCTTTATTTTGTTTGTGATCTGTCTGTTGATTGTTGAACTTCTGAAAATATAAAACCGAAAACATGCAAATTTAAAATTTGGACAGAGCTTGACTGAATCGAATTGACACAGGTTGAAATTCCATTCATTTTATAAATATTCCTGGTGAAAAAATCCCGTTAGAATTTTAACTTTTTAAAAACAAACTGACTGTTGAGTTCAATTGTTTTCATGTGAAACATCCAGCCGCTGAAATCGTCCATAGCAGCCGAAAGCGACCGGATTAGAAAATTCCGGAAAACATGGCTGGTTATTGTGATTATAAAAGTCAGCTTCATCCAAAACTTTATGAAAACGGCGCTGAGAAACGAGTTGAGTTTTATGTGTGGCTGCCAGACAAAGTGGCAGAAAATGAAAACTTTTAAATTAGGTTCGGTTTAATGAAGACCTGGAAGTTGATGAAACTTGCCCCAGATCCATAGATCATCTGTGGAAATGTGAATAGTTATAATAAGCTAAAGTTTAGCTAGTTTTTGTTGCCACCATTTCTGCTTATTACAATTGCATGTTTCTCATCGACTACCCAGTTCAGGTCTCAAATATTGCTCCTTTCAAATTCAATCAAATAAATCCAGACAAAAAAATAAAATGAAGTTAGTAGATATTAAGAAAAAAATTATTTTCCGAAGAAAAATCGACTGAGGTGCCAAGCCTGAAAATCGATCACTCGCCCAAAGGGAATTTGTATTTCAATCTATCAGTTTTCCTCAGCCTGTTTACAATAAAGCCACCACTCGGATTGTGGAACATTTCCAGGTTTCCCAGGCATGCTGTAATGGGTTTCCAAGTGGCTTTCACGAAATGAGTAAATTAGATTTTTGAATTCTTCCTGTTAAATGCTGGGAATAATTCAAAACATTCCGCTCAAAAAAATACGCAAAAAGCACCCGAAACCGCGGCGTTTTTAACCGGGCACAAGAGGCAAATAAGGGTATTAGAGTGTTGTCCTTTTACGTCAAGAACAATGTCGCGTAACATAGCGAATGGGGTCGCTTTTGCCTGCGAATTATGTTAAAACGTTGTTTTTTTTTATTAAACATTTCCTGTACCGTGTTTTGCTATGAAGGCATCCGAAGGCTTAACAGCCTGTGCCATTCCGGTTTCCAACCAGAAGATTTTACTATAAAAATTACTGATTTTATTTGGGTGAAGTTTGCACATTTATTCATAGTTATAGAACGTCATAACAGGTGGAAACTGAAATGTACTTTAGCCCAATTCATCATTAATTGAATAATGAAAAGTAAGCTTTGATGTCAAAAATAGCCAGTTAACATCCATTCATTAGCTAAAAAATGCAATCTCTGTTAACAGAACTGAAATGTTCGGGGGTAATTTTTCATTTTTTCGCACAACATATTCGATGGAAAAAGCGTTTTATTTGTAGCATTTAAAGCCCGAAATATTCTGGAACTGAAACATGACGAGCTGTTACGTTTAATAATTGTTTTTTACATATATTTGTGTAAAATAACTTATTTTTTTTTTAAATATTGGTGCTTGAACTTCCTTGCACATCAAAACAGTCAATTCGACTAAGAACCATCTCTATTGGAACTGTTTGGGCTGATTTGTATGCGCATAATGTTCTGTGTTATATCAAAATGTGATATGGGAATATTGTAGCTTGCTTTACAAGTTATGGCTGCATCAATATGAAATTTAGCGAAACAGAACGGACCGTTCTCATGCGATAAAGCCGACTCACGTTATTCATGCCAATCGGATTTCACTTTGCACTCTGGATTGGGAAATTGTTGTAATCACATCGCCGTTCCTTTAGATGATTTAATTTAATTTTGATCAGTAATAATTTGTGGCAAATTTAGTAAACGGTTAAGGTGGAGAATTTGCTCCGAGGGACTTTGGAGCAAAAAAGGGATACTGTTAGAACCTTTAACTTCACCTTTTTTATGTTGATTGTTTAGCTGCTTGAGTTTCAAGTGGTCAGGTGAGTTTCAGTTGTCATTTTCGAATCCAGTGTGGGGAAATATGCAGCTTCTCCGGCCAATGAGCCATTTTTGCTTCAGGTTTCTTTTCGTAATTAAACTGGACCTTCAAGAAAACCAACGAAACTTCAATTTAATTTTCTACTTTGACCGAGCAAAGTGAGCATACACGAATGCAAAGAAAACTTCGGGAAAACGACGATGACGTTGGGCAAAGTACATTTTGTACTTAGAAAAACATACAGAACATAGGAATAAATTAATTTAAACCTGAAAATTTGTAGCTCGCCAAACTTATTCTAACCCTTATGGAACAGCAAAGACTGACGAAGAACGAAAACGGAAAAGCAGATCAAAGAAGAAAAGCAGAGATGGATGGAGAGAGAATGTGCAGAACAAGATCTCTTCTTAGAGCTTGTTTTACAATTCCAACTCCTGCTGAATAATTTAGTATCCCCCAAAACTTTCTAGTCAGATCATGAAAATTTGCGGCAAACTACAGCTTGTCCATATGTATATAATGACTACACCAAATCGAGTTATTTTATACAGAGTGTTAAAACATTAAGTCAAGTAGTGGTCAAACATCGCCTTTTTCAAACAACCGTTTTTGCCCTTAACGTTTCAAGTCAAATCCGAAATACCCCAATTTTTTTAATGAAAATACGTACATTACAGCAAACATTCACGTATGGCTTTCATGTACAGTCCTGCTGCTGGTTGGACGTATGATTTTCGAGCAGATAACAAGCAGGGCGCCTAAACAAAACGCAATTATCTCCCATCCCGAATCCGTGCGCCGAAATACATGATTAGTTTTTTGTGATGCAAATATCGTTTGACTTTGCAATCAGGATTGCGGAATTGTAATCGGAACTCGGTTTGCACGGATAAAATTATTTTAGATTTGTCCCAGTGGCTTGTCTTTTGGCTGCAAAAACCATCGATCTCGGTCTGGAACACTTCATTTGGTAGGCAACAGTGGAAATGAGCTTCCTGGTAATTTTCCCCGTAATACTCATGGCGTTAATGTAAATTATTAACTAGCGGGTTGAGTATAAAATGCATGTGTTTATGTATAATAAATTTGGCACAACCGGAAAGGCCACTAATGGTTTGATGCGTTTTCTGATTTAAATCGTTTTCGATCAATGTTGAAAGCTTTCCATCAAGAGCCCATTAAGCAAAATGGAAAACCTATTAAACCTAAATACATTGGCTTTGGCATAATTACTAGGCCATTTTAATATGACCGAAAAAACCGGTGCAAATGAAATTAATTTAATTTCACTGCTGGCAGAGCCCTTATAGAGACAGTGATGGAGAAATTTTAATTAGAATATGACTTCCCACTTTTGGCTTATTTCCAACCCTCCGAGTGACCTTTGAAATTTGCGGCCGCGGTTTGCAAACAACAGGGGGAAAAATTGCCAGCATTTAAATTGAGTTACACTCATTTACTATGCGTTATGTTCAAACGAGCAAACCTGGGACGAATCCAGCCTGGCAAATGAATGCCTGATCTGGCTTGATGTTCCAAAAAATTACCATCCGATGGGGTTTTTCTCGAGCAACATTTACCTAATCTGATTTTTTATTTGTTTCAGGAACAGAGTCATAAGTCTTACAGACCTTTGTGTGTCCTGACCTTTCGGCTCAATTATCTGTTTGGGCAACTGGATCCGTTTGGATATCATTTGGTCAACATGCTGCTACATTGTGTGGTTTGTCTGATGTATTTTAGGTAAGCTTACTTGTTTGCATTTTTCAAGGGAAAACCTATTCTGTAAATGCGAAAGGCGACAGTCAGTTCTCAACTAGAGCTTTTTTAGGAAGATTTTCAATTGTAGAAAAAGTGTGGAATTAATCTTCGTAACTCTAAATGATTCCTCGGTCGACTGGGTCTAATTTTCAGGATTCTCGAACTTTAAAGTATGGAAAATGTATTTTTCTTGTTCGCTCTGCTTGTCTCTTTCGCATAAAATGCCTTTCCTTTGCTCATTTTTTTTTCAATATGAACGAGAACATAAAGTTTTATGAACTAATGTGAATTAATTTATGAAAAGTTGTGAATATTCTTGAATCTGATATAAGATATCGAGCATTTGCAAAAATTGGGAAACAATCTCAAGTCCGTGATTGCTTTTATTGCCTTGCAGACTTCAGAAGTGAAAAAAAAATGAAACGTGTTGTTAATTCCCACTAATATTTTCATTATCTGGCTTTTAAAGCGTAGTTCATTGAAAATGAAGCATTTCACCCATAAAAGTAGTCAACGATTTATTGGCAAAATGATAAAAATATTCCGCTCTATTTTAGATCTTCTAAACTAACCGCTTCTAAATTTGCCTTCAATTTGGAACTGTATAAATTCTGATTGATTTAAGCGATTAAGTTTCTGTTTAAAGCTTCATTTAACCTCATTTGTTCTTTCTCGGTATATGCTTTGGAAAAAAATAAGCATCTCAGATCAATTTTCTACTGGGGGCAAATGAAAAAATGCAAAACTCCGACTTAAATCCGACTAAAAGTTTAAAAATAATTTTAGGATTTTTTTTGTTTCGATTTTTTCGGCCATCTCCTCTTTACAGATTGGTCGCAAAAAATCAACTTTTAGTCTTGATGGGATAACTATTCTTCTCCTGGTCCGATTTACACGCTCTAGAGCTAAAACATGAGCGTTCAGGCTAAAACTTAATCGAAAACTTGGGACAAAATCTCAATATGCGGGGTTTATTTTCAAATTTTACATTTCGTTCGTTCATGCAACCCGGTATATTTAATTTTTGCCGCAAGTCAAYTCTTTTCCAGGTTTCAGCTTCTGGATCCTAATTTTTGAAAATCGGTACAGAAGCAAAAAAAATCACTGCAAGATCAAAACGTTAATTTTTTGAGCCCACTCTGTAAATACACGAGATGGTCGAAAAACTGAAAAACGTTCTTTACGATACGAAATCAACTTGAAACTCTGTCGTTTAAATAGAAAGAACGGGGTGGGTGTACAAGTGAGAACGTGTGGAACTTTTACCACTTTTACATTGTTTCTTTTGCCATCCTGTAGCATCTCAGTCTGGAGCTCTCAATGTTTGCCAAAAAATCACACTAAATAAAAATAACGCATCAAACATAAAAATAATCGTTCTCAGCTATCAAAATGTATCCAGTTCCACAATCAGTTGACCAATTGAAGCAAGATAGTGATTTTTGGGATTGCTTCTTCAGAAAGATATTAAGCATCTGCTAACCAACACAACTTTGCTAATCAAGCAAAAATTGGGATGAAATCTCAAGGCCGTTGGTGCTATTCCCTTGCAGACTTCAAAAGTGAAAAAAAATAAAACGTGTTATTAATTGCAACTAATATTTTCATTGTCTGTCTTTTAAAGCGTACTTCATTGAAAATGAAGCATTTTACCCATAAAAGTAGTCAACGATTTATACGCAAAATGATAAAATATTCCGCTCTATTTTAGCTCTTCTAAACTAAACGTTTCTAAATTTGCCTTAAATTTGGAACTGGATAAATTCCGATTGATTTAAGCGATTTGGCTTTTATTTCAACATTTATTTAGCCCCACTTGTTTTGTCTTCGTACATTTTTTGGAATAAATTAAGCATCGCATATCAATTTTCTACGGGGCGGCAAAAGAAAAAGTGCAAAACTTCGCACAAAGTCCGACATGCTCCTAGCTGAAGACAAATAAGTTTTTCTCGATATTAACACCAAAAGTTTTAAAATAAACCAAATAGCTCGAAACGGTTTCTGCATTATTCGGTAATCTCTTCTATTTACAGAGCGGTCGCCAAAAATCGACTTTTAGTCTTGAACCGATAGTTTTTCTGCTCCTGCTCCGATTTTCACGCTCTAGAGCTCATGTTAACGCTAAAACTTAATGGAAAACTTATGACAAAAACTCAATGTACGGGGTTTACTTCAAATTTTACATTTCGTGCATTCATGCCACCCGTTATATTGACTTTTTGTCGCAAGTCGAAAAAATGTAACTGCGAGATCAGCACGCTGATTTTTTTAACCCACTGTGTAACTAAACGAGATGGTAGAAAAACTGAAAAACTTTCTTTGAGAAATGAAATCAACCTGAAACTCTGTGTGGTTGAAATAGAAAAAAACAGGTTTTTGTACAAGTGAGATCGTGTGAAACTTTCACCAATTTCGCATTGCTTCTTTTGGCAGCCTGTAGCATCTTAGTCTGAAGCACTCAATTTTTGCTAAAAAAACAATCTAAATGAAAAAGAATGACACTAAATAACGCTTCAAACAGAAAAAGAATCGATGTCAAAGATCAAAGTCTGTTGGCCACTTGAAGCAAGAACCTTTATTGCCGCAGTCACGTCTTTCAGATTGTTTTCCTAAGGCAAATTTTTGCAAACCCCATTGCAAATTGCTCGTCATAGCCCTAAAAATACATCTTTAAACATTAATATTGTCAGTAAAATATTTTCTAAGGACTATACAGTGTTGCGTCCAACACACTTCAGACATCTCGATTTCTCGTGACGGAATTTGACCAGGAAATACTGGATTTTTAGGCCAAAATCGCTCTTTTCTTGCTTGAACTCAAAGTAATTGCATGTATGAACTTGAGATAATCCCAACTCGTTGAAGCAACACCCAGCAAACCATATAGTCTAAAATTAATTCAAACTCTCCGATTCAAAGCATTTAATTTGCGTTTGCAAGCATTTCCCCATTCATTTCGATTCAAAGCTCCTTTAAAGTAATGTAGAATCGCAACCAGGAGTGGTTTTGCTTGATACACTCAGTGTCCCAAAGAGATTTCTGTCCATCCTGCGGATACTGCACTCGCTACCAACAACTGGATGGAAAATCAGTTTCGTATAATCGAACAAATGAGTTTCCTGGATATTTAAAGGCCACTAACTAATTAGGTTAATTGCTGCCGCTGTCGCTGAAAAAGCTTTGACTGCAAGGTTTTTTGTGGGACTGTTTCATATCAAAAGTTCCTTTTATTTCACAATCAGCTAATTGAAACTGTGGGGGTTTTCCATGCGTTTAAAGCCACCGTGGAAGAGGATGTCTTTCAGACGTTTCGCAAGCACGAGTGGCTTGCACCTTCAGCGGTGTTCAGGGCCAGGAAGAAATATTCCATTGAAAAAATAAACTAACTCTTTTGTTAATGAGTTGATTAGTTTTGACGTAACTAGAAAGACCCAAACTGGGCCACATTCTATTAAACTACAGGTTTCTTTTGAAGTATTATGTGCAGGAAATGCTGGCAACTTTCCAGATACAGCTTTTCCGCTAATTTCATTTTGCTCGCAGTTTGCAAGCATATTTCCAAGTTGCCTCTTTTTGCGTACACTTGCACTCCATGGCCATTAGTTTCAACCGGCTTTACAAGAAGGTTGAAGCAGTCGTTTTGCGTTGTAAGTTGACAATGTTGCAAGCGGATCGTATTAACTAATTAGTTTGTTCCAGATGCTCCGTTTCATGGAAAGTTACACGTTTATTCCGAATGTTTCCATTATAAATATGGAACTGGGGACGGTTTCCCCAGAAGAAAGCTGCTGACAATTTCGAAATATCCATTGACAAACTATTTTTTAATGGTTGTTTGATAACGTTGATATAGTCACTACTTAATAAAAGTACGTGTTGGAATCGAACACGCAACCAACACATTAAACTTTGGTAGCATCATTAGTAGGCGCTATTAAAATGTTTTCCAAATGTTATCGAAAAATACCTAGCGTGTCCGGTAGTTTCACCAAAAAAAAACCATTTCCATAGGAGAAGCGCGAAGATTTTTTTAATGAAGAAGCGGGCAAATTTTGCAAAATGCGATCCCGAGGCAAATTGATCAGCAAAAGTGACAATTGCCTAAACAACTGCAAGAATTAATCAATATTTATACAAACAGTGTTAACTACTTTGGTTCAAAGCCCTTCTGATCCAACACTGAAGATGGATAGGGCAACTATCGGTTTTCGGCGTCGACTAACTTGCAAAACTAGGTCAGGACGTATTTTGCAATAGTGCCCGGAAACTCCCGGGAGTTTCGTTTGCACAGTTATTTTCACTGCTCTCTTTGCACATTGAAACGCTGCAAGGAAATATTTATGTACTTCACATATTTCAATTTTTCTAACGCGTAGTGTAGCTGATTGATTTGAGACACTCATTTCCCGGCCAATATTTTCTTCAGGTGCTGATTTTTTAGTTCTACAGCCGAGTATTATTTTAGAAAAATACTCTTCTGGAAACGTGCAATATTGAACAATCTGAGAGTGTTTTGTGAAGCGCCAGGGAGCCTCCCGGTATAGAGGGAGGAGTTACACGTAAAAACTACAGTGACATGACTGACTACATACAGTTTTATAGAGTCAGTGTAGTAAAAACCAACTGGCACATTTGAAGCAGTTGAGACGAGAGGAAGTGAGACACTGCCTTATTAGTTGCGAGGAAGTGAAATAGTTGCAACTGACTAATACCCTGGAAGTATGGAGGAACCAAAAGTTTAAAAGGCTTAAGATAAAAGAAAACAGATTATAAAGTTGCATCGAGTACTTTTCAAAGCTAGGAATAAGCGAAAAGTTTTGGAAACAACTGACAATACGGGATAATCCGCACAAATCCTGACTTTTAGTTTAAGTTTTTCGCCGGGTTCGAAATGCGCCGTCTAATATTAATTAGGGGCGAGATTTTCCTAAAAATAATGAATTGAGATTTAAGCCCCTCTAAGTTGGGACGCCCTCGACAGAGATTAATTAGATTTAGAGACGTTATGCCGGATTAATCTAAAAAGTGTAAAAACCTCTTTGGAAATTTTATAATTGGACGCCTAAAGGACGTGCACGCCAGTTTATTTCACTTACTACTCTGGCTGGAAATTTATCATTATTTTTAGCAAATATTAGCTAAGTTATGTATAGGCAACTTTGGAGTGTTTTATCGGCGCATAACTAAAAGCTCAAATGTATTTGTTGTGCTATATGGGCACGATACAGATTCAGTGAAAACTGTGCAAGTTTAGAGTGTTTTTGCTTCTGTTTAGAGTGTATTTTATATCGACACGGAACTGCAACCTCTAATGTATGAAGAGAAAGCGAAAAATATTCAACTTTGGAGAATACAGTATTGTGTGTTCTTTTGAAGTGCATTTTACATCAGAGCGAAACTACAGCATCTCATGTTTTTGTTGTGGCGAGTCATGCGTGCATGACAGTGCTTGGTTGGAAAAAGTGAAAAATTACAAGTTTAGATTGTTTTTTTATCTGTTTAGAGTAAGTTTTACATAAGAGAAGAACTACAACTTCTATGTATTTTTTGTGCCGAGCCCTTCGGGCACGACACTGACTGAGTGAAAAAGGTGAAAAGACGAGCAAACTTGCGTTGGTTTAGAGTGCATTTTTAGTGTATATCAATGTCGCATAAAGTTTGGAATGTCTTTCTAAGAGACAGTTGTTTTGCGCCGATGTAAAATGCACTATAAATAAGCGCAAAACACTCTAAACTTGAAAATTTTTCACTTTTCCACTCAAATACATTATAGACTGTAGTTCCGCTCTGACGTGAAACCCAGTTTAAATGAAGGCAAAAGAACACTCCAAACTTGTGCATTGTTCGCTTTTGCAACCCAGTGTCATGTCCGAAGAGCTCTGCACAACAACCCTCAACAGAAATGGCGAAAATAAGCATGAAAATATTCTTCGATTTTGCTGTAATCCTGCACATTTGGAAGTAAATTAATATTATAATGTTGCGCATTTATTCACGGTGTGTATTAATTAATAATTTATTCAATAATTAGTTGAAAATGTAATCGAAATCCGGCCGCTAAAAACATCCGATTTCACCGAATGTTTAATGAATCGACGTTAATTCATCTAAAATATTTCCAGACTCCTTTGAAATTGTTTTAGTCAAAACTGAATGTTCGCGAAATTCAATTGCGCTGTTTGCGTTGCAACATTTTTCTAATTAAGTTTGCTTAACTCCTTCCAAGCTAACACAATAGAAGTTGAGAAACTTTAATTGGACAAAAAGAACGAAATTTGCGTCGCTTTTTTACTCGGGCGAATCGTAAATTTCACTCCGGAATGAGATAATGATCGCTACGGTTTGGCCTAAAGGGCAGGTCACCGTCCCGAATGGATTTTAAGTCCTTAAGCTTCTTGCTTGTTAACTTTCTTTAGACAAGAAAGTACGAAATTAAACGTGCCTGCGAGGCCCCAAAGCAGCTGTAGAAAATTTACATAAACGACACCTTTAGAATGTTTCAGAATACCCAACTATCTGGCTTCATTATTACTAATTTTCGATTAGACTATTTACGATTTAACTAACAGTTTCATGCACATTGGAACAATCCAGTGACTGGCGACAGTTTTCCGGATCATAACTTTAACAGAGCGAATGTTAATAAAATAAATTCAAAGTTGAAATAATTCAATTTAATGTATGCACCAGTGAGCTGTAGCAGTGCAGTCAATGTTATTGTTAATAAATTTAAATGGCGAGTTGATGTGGTGGATTTTAATGAAAATTATGCATTTTAATAAATGGTACTGTTTAAAAACTTGGAAGTTTCTAACGCGAATATTTGAACTGTTTTCCAGTGTTTCTTTCAGTTTTCTCCTGCAAATTGATGGTTTCAGCGAAAACTTTCGCAGGCAATTGACTGGCATCTCTTTATTAAAATCCTCTTTCACTTCTGTCGCATTTGATCTTTTTTGCAAGAAAGGGGCCTTAGCAAACAGAAAAACGCTCGAACACTTAATTACTTTTGTGATAAGTCGCAAAAAGATTTTTTCCTCGCGGACGTAAATAAAGCCCTCACCCTTATTAAAAAAGAAAACAGACAGAAATTTTAAGTCCCCGGGATGCTGGAGAACATAAAGAGTTCTGATTTGTTCGCCCTTCTTCCAATTAGCTGTTTTCAAACCTATTTTAATTAATACCAAATTCTGAAATTTTTGGCTCTAAATTCAGTGAGCTGCACGTTAAATGTGGTTTATCCAAAATCCCTATCAAGTTTCCAGCGTTGTTGTTGTTGAAGCCAATTAGGGCAAAACCACGATTGTTCATTGAAAATTATGCGCCAGTGATTTGGATGGAAATAAATTATTTAGATAAACATATTACTAGCGCATTTAATTGTGAAACAAATGGTCATATCATTAGGCAAACAACCCCCGAACTGTATATTTCCTGCAAGGGAAATTGCGACGGGGAAAAATTCAAGATGTTGCCAGGCTAAGCACATTAAAAGCATCTTTATTTAACATAATACAGCAGAGAGAATGCCGTATAACGACATTCTAATGCCTTTAATATATTCCCGCCTAAGTACTATCATCCCAATAAATCTTTCGAGGTTGTCAAGCAGGAGGAAATAATGGGATTTATTTGCCTGATAATGGGGCTCGCTTTTGCCGATTTCTTCCCTGTAGTTATGCAGGAAACAAAATCGATTTATTTAAGAAATAATTAATTCAACGTAAAATAATGAAGTTTTTGAATGCAAATAAGTCGGTTTTTTACTTTTTTTTCTGAGTGGAATCTGAACGAATTTACACTCTTTAGTTGCAATATTTTCAGTTCTTCATTCTTCACATTCATTCATATTTGCCCTGAAAGCATACGTGCAAAGGAATTCATTTAACAGATATTTACATTTTTTCTCGGCCAGAACGTGCAGGAGAAAACCCGAACCTTCTTATTAAATATGAAAGAGGGGCAGATTTTTTTGTAATTTTAGCTGATTTCAATTGATTCAACTTCCCATATTTTTCTACATTTTCGTTTATTTGCAGGATGTGTTTGATGTTCCTGCCCGATATGGCGAGTTTTGTGGCCGCAATGCTGTTCGCAGTGCATCCCATCCATACGGAGGCCGTGAGTATAAAATTCACCAAAAGTGGAAATTTTGCCGTTAAAAAACATGTTATTCCCCCGCCATGTTCATTTGGATTGGTTCCAAATATCCGTTTCTCATAAAACTATTGTGTCCCATTTTCTAAAGCCCTACACAGGAAGCTGTACTTATGCTTTCTGGGAACTTCAAAGTGAATGCGGATTTGCACTCAACGTAGAGCTTTTTATTTTTTCAATCACCCTTTCCGCCCCCTTTTTCGTATTTTATCGGCCAAACTGTTTTTCGGCAACGTGATTCTTCTTATTCGCCTTTCTGTGCCCGGGGGTGCATTCGAGCATACGCTTTACGTCCCATTTTATCAACTTACTGGAGCAAAATAGGTCAGTAGTATGAAAACCGCAAATTGTTACACAGACTAAAGCTGGAATGGGCATGAGATGGGAAGCAATTTTATTTTTTAACAGCAACAATTTTATTGTTGGGGAGCAAAGCTCGATTTCCTAGCAGGACGCATGATCATCATGCTTCCTACCATCAAGAGCAGCTTCTTTCACAATATGTCTTCAAATCGTCATCGACAGAACTTCAAAACACCTACCCTTATTTGCAAGATTTCTTAACATCATTGAGGTGAAGAATAAATTAAAACTAACTCGTTCAAACCCGTTTTATCCGAAAAGCGTCGTTAAAGTTAGATGATTCAATGCTTTTGACGATCTGTCGGAATTAAGGCAAACAACTTCAAACGGTTTGGTACAGACGCACTAATGAAAATACCCTTTCAGCAGAAATCTGCAAAAACAGATTTGAGGAATTTTAATTGCTGCATGCCGAGCAAAAGGGTGTTAAGGGGTAGTCAAAGTGTCCTCTAAGGGCGGAATCAAGTGGGTTTGAGTAGGAAAATGCACGGTTAAAACATATCAGTGTGGATCCAGGCCTCAAAGTAAATTGTATTTGTTTTTGTCGTTTGCTTATAAAACCTACATTGACTGGGATTGACAATGTCTGTAGTATTCCTTGGTGAAAACAGAAACAAAGTATTCTATAAGGGATCGAACTTTGACCGGAATGATAAAAGCAAACCTGTATGTTCCAGGGAAAATCCACCACGCGAGCCTGAGGGGATTAATAACCAAATGCCAGAAATTCCCCATAAATCAGAAATTCCATTTCGTATTACAACATTTTGGTCGCCTTAATGAAATTTACTTAACGTCCCTTCAATGTTTCGCATTCTGTGACTGGTCTTTTTGAGGCATTTTGCAATTTGGAGACGAAATTTTATCTGATAATTTGCAATTTCATATCCGGCAGGGCCACAATGGGGACATAATCCAATTTTAGTGCGACATGAGAAAGCGAAACTGAAGCTGAGTGACAGGAAATAAGACAGAAACGTTTGTTTTTCGCTCTAATTCGATTCAGTTGGCATGTGTCTCTATTAGAACAAGTCTCGGTTGTTTAATGTTGATGTTTGGATTTTGGGATTTTTTCAATTGCAATATTTGTGAATCGCGAGGTTTTCAGACCATTTTTGGTATGTTGAACAATTGGGGATTTTCGTGTTTTAAGCCGCCGCCGATAGGAACTTAATTTTGAGGTTTCGCTACCAGGGGAAGTTATCATCTTTTGAAGTGTGTCCGCTTGAGGTCGAGCTAAGTTTGGCACCTAGTTTTTTTTATTTTTACTTTTGAATGCTTTTTGTGGCTCGAACCACATTCTATGTGTGGAAGTGATTTCGTTTATGTATCATCGGCAGGCAATTGTTGAGAAATTTTTTGTGTGCTTTTTACTTTTGAGATTGCTTTCTTAGTTGACATGACAGTTGACATTTCTTAGTTGACGTTTGACATGTGGTTTTCCGAAAACCAGTGGAGCTAAAGATTTACTTTTGGATACTTTTTGTGGCGCCAAGTGTGGTCTATGCGTGGAAATAGTTTCGACTTCAGTCATGATCAGGCAATTTTTGGGAATTTTGGGAAATTTTTGGACGTGTGATTCACTTTTGAACTTACCTTTGCAGGCCTAAGTTGGACACCTGCTTTCTCAAAAACTACAAACGTTGGCGAGTTACCTTTGCATGAATTTTGAAGTTTTATAAGTAGAAAATGTTTAGATTTTGACCCATCGTCAGGAAATTTTATAGAATTAGTTCATTCTGGTCCTTTAAATGAGCCAAATTTAATGTCCATTTATAAGCAGTTATTTTCAATTAAACCCCCAGTGTTTCAAACCCATTTATTTCTGGGACTCTTTTTATAGCATCAAATATATTTTAACTTTTATACCTAAAAATTAAATTTTCCTATTCAATTTTTTTGATAAAAACAAAACTCTTGTATCCATGCATTATTAATAATTCATCACTCAATTAGACATGTCGGCAAAGTTTCCAATGTATCCAACCGTGCGAGCACATTGAAAGCAGGCTCTATTTTCCCCCGACAGAATTGTCCCAAAATAAATTATTTTAAATTGAGCTAACGCAAATATATTACGCAACATGACTTGGTGAAATGTTGGCGTTTCGAGGCCTTGTGCATATTTATCCATCCGGCAAAGGGATGAGAATCTATTAGGGAAAAACGCATAAAGCCGAACTGGCTTTGAGTGAGAGTCAGTTGCTGTAATTATGGCACTGAACAGTAAAAGCTGATTACCAGCCGAGAGCTTAAGGGAAAATAAAAGTTCTTTTTAGTGTTTCACTTTTACGTCTAGTAATAAAATGTATTTACTATGCGGAAGCATCAGGTAGAAAATACTTGCAGTTTTCACATAAAAAATCCTTAGTCTTGGACATTTTTACTTAAGATGTGAGCGGTGAATTGAAAAATAGTAATGAAAAGTAATTGAAAGCTATAAAATTGAAAGAGCTTAAGTTGGTTAGTTGTTGCTAAAAATGCATTTGGGGCTACAATTTCGAATCTATCAGGCTTCTAACGTTTATCGCCGGTTGAAGCGATCGACACGAATGTGAATACAAGCGAAACAAACAGGAATCCAATTTGAAGTTGGTAATAGGAAAATTGTCGACTACGCAAATAATGGAGAAAATCGAGCAAAGTGGAATTGAGAATTGGAATCCACCTCAAAAAATGTAATATTTTTGAAAAAAACCCAATCCGAACCGAAATTCAAAAACTTTCTTGTCGTTCCTCGTGGAATCACACATGCGGCAATATAAAATACAACAAAATGGGGCTAAAATCTTTACATCTCAAGTAATGACAAACTCACCGAAAAAGCTGCATCGTGCCACCTGGAAAGAAAGAAGAAAATGTGTTTAGTACAGCAGCAAATATGTCGCTATAAAACTAAGAATAATAAATGTAGAAAATGCATAAAATTTCAGCTGCTTTTTGAAAAACTCAAATCAGTTCAATCTGTTTATAGATTAGAGAGCTTTTTACCAGATTTATGCAACGTGGCGCCCCATCCTTCATTTTCAACCCTACAATCCTCAAAAAAATGTACACTACACTTGATCACACAATGAAAATGTTCGCACGCCTTGCGAACATTTTTCATCTTCTCAAAGACAAATTTTACGTTCCAACTAGTTTGGATGCTCGTCGTAAACAAACCGCATTCCCAGCCAGATATAAACAAATACGATCGCGAAGCGCATTAGACTTTTTTGTACTAAATTAAATGCTAGCTATCGAATCAGTCGTTTTATTCGATTTTTATGAAATTTCATGCCAATTTTGCGTAAAGGCTGGCCAAGTGGCAGAGCCACATTCAAGTCATGCAATAATTTATTAATTAATGCAATTAATTTATTAATTATTAATTAATGCTTCTTTGCTTGCATTGTTATAACCTTAAGAAAACGTAATTTGGTGTTTACTACACAAGATTTTTCCGATTAATTTTTTGCTCGACAAAGCAACTTCTTTACACAAAATTGCCGATTTTCTTTACATTATATCAGATCAATTTGTTACTATTAGAGATTTTCATTCGGACAAAACATTTTGCTGCATGCTTGATGAAAAACTGCCACTAAACGTGTATTAAAATAAATATTTCCCAGTTCAAGCTATATTAAGTGCGGGTCTGGAAGATATTTTAGATCGCTGCCCCGCGGTGCGTTAAAAACAATATGAATGTATTTATTAATTAACTAATTTCTAATTAAGGTTTACATTTTTTCAAAAACCTTTTGAGCTCAAGGGCCAACATTTACATCAATGGATCGAGATTAAAAAGCCTGCTTATCAAATAAAACACCAGTTAAGCTGTATAAGGGGTTTTATCGCCAGCGTGCCCAACAGACTGTCGCTCTTTTGCCCAAATCCCCAGAATCATGTGAGGAAACCTACTCAGTTTACACCAATAGGGCACGAAATAAAACATAAATAAACGTACAACCAAAAATTAACCTCCTCTTGCACTTTTATAGTTTTAGCAGGAAATTTTAATAGTACTTTTTGCCTTAGGTAACTGGAGTAGTTGGCAGGGCGGAAACTCTCTCGTCCGTGTTTTTCCTGGCCGCTTTCCTCTTTTATACCAAAGCCACGATAAACAAGAAACTTACAGGTAAGCAATACGGGGAATCAGAGAATAGGGCATGTGTTCTTATTGAGCCCGATTTTAGATTGGAAATTTATTGGCATGTCCATGCTCTCAATAGCGACGGCAATGCTGTGCAAAGAGCAGGGAATTACGATTGCTGGAGTGTGCGCTGCATACGAAATTTTCGTTATTCAAAGGGTGAGTAATTGCGCAACATATGAAACAACATGCTAAACTAAAAGTTCTGGAATTTCAGGTGAAACTGGAGGACATGAAATCGTTTGCAAAATCAGCAGTCACACCCAAGTCCAGTTTCCATCTGCCAAAGTCCAACGCAGCTGCAAAACGGCTGTTCGTGCTGTTCATCTTCACCATTCTGCTTCTGTTGGCCAGGCTGCAAATCATGGGGTCTCAGCTACCAGTTTTTACAAGATTCGATAATCCAGCTTCAGTAGCTCCATCGCCCAGCAAGCAGCTCACTTATCACTATCTGATCAGCGTCAACGTGTGGCTTTTGCTGTTTCCTTGCAATCTTTGCTGTGACTGGACGATGGGAACAATTCCTTTGGTGGAATCTTTCCTGGATATGCGGAATCTTACCACAATAGCCACATATTTGTTCCTTTTGCTGTTGATTGCCACAGCGTTTTTAACGGAGAATCGACATCAACGTGTTGTGCTGATAATGGTAAGTTTGATTCTAGAAAAAGGTGTTTAAGGATAAATGTCCCCCGATGTCCTTATTTGATTTTCGTTTGAAAATTTTGATTGGTATTTAAACGTCTAAAAGTGTTCTAAGACTCCACAAAGCTCTAACTCTCGCTTTAAAATGTAATCTGAAGTAGCCAAGTATTAGGTCAGACTCCAATGGATGGTCTTATGCTTGTTGAAAATCTCAATAACAAAATGGTACATAAATTTCCTAACGAGGTCCTGGCAGCGTACCAAACCGCCCGGCAGTCTATTTCGCCGATCCGCAAAAATATTATCGAACCGATTTTCTTTAATATTCGTAAGAGGAAACTGCGCCAACCATTAGTTATTTGGACGATTTATTCGACAATTTATRTCAGAACTTAGTGTGATTTTCATGAAAATTGTGAGGCACCACTTTTAGCTATGTCTWKGGATAGTTTGAAGCYCTTACTTTCTGCTGATTAATACTCAGAGATTTTTTAAGGAGAGCGCGCTTTTGGCTGGTGATAATTTTTAGTACCTGAATTCAGACAGCAAAACAAATCAGGATCTAATGCGATCTCAATCAAAATATACCAGATTTCAGGCTCAACTGCCTGCTCTATTTTGCGAAACTTTCAAGTTAGAACTTTTTTCTGATTACTGGCTAGGAATTTTTTTTTAAATATGGCCGCTGTAACCACAGGAAAAAATAATAATTGCGTGCTATTTTTATAAAAATATATCAGTTCTGAGATCCAACAGTTTATTATATCTTGCAAAACTCTCAAGTTCAAACGTGCTACAGATTAGAAGCTACGAATTTCTTCAGGTGAGCGTCGTTTCGGCCAGGAATGTTTATTTATAGACCCGCATTTAACCAGCAGGAAAAAATTGGAATCTTGTGTGATTCATATGCAAGTTTCTCAAGTTTCAGACACAGCTGTTTGCTGTATTTTGGGAAACTGTCTACTTGCTCTAGATAAGTAGTTACGATTTTTTCAAGTAGAATGGATTTTTGACAAGAATCTTTTTTTTAGACTCGATTATAAACAGCAGTAAAAATCAGGAGCGAATGCGATGCCAATGAAAATTGTTGACTTTTGAGACTCAGCTGTCTTATATGTATTTTTTGCGACACTCAAGTTTGTGCTTTTGCCATATTAGTAGTTACGAATTTTTGAAGGAAAGCACGCTTTTGGCTATAAACGGTCATTTTTAGATTTGAGCTTCGACAGTTGAGAAAAATCAGGATCTAGTTGGATTTCCATAAAGGTTTCTCGGTTCCCAGACCCAACTCTCTGCTATGTTGTTCGAAACGTTCAAATTTAAATTGGTTATACACTAGCAGTTTAATTTAAGGAGACCAATTTTTTTAAAGGAGCTTCCGATTTATTGAAAATGTTCGTTTTTATACTCGAGTTCTAACAACAGAAAAATATATCAGATTTAATGTGATTTCTATGAAAGTTTCTATATTTGAAGACTCTACTGTCTGCTAATTCTGACGAATTTTTCAAATTTAAACTTGCTCCGGATTAGTAGTTATGATTTTTTTTTGATAATGGCGCTTTTGGTAATATACTTTTGGTTTTAGACCTGGATTTTGAGGGCAGGAAAAATTAGGATCTAGCGCAATTTCCATCAAAGTTTCAAGGTTCGCAGATTCAGCTGCCTGCTATATTAAGCAAAATTTTCAGGTTTGAACTTGCTCTAGATTAGTAGTTACACATTTTTAAAGAATAGCGCGTTTGTGCTGTAAACGTAAGTTTTCAGACTCGAGCTTAAAGAGCAGAAAAATATCAGTATCTAATTTGATTTCAATGAAAGTTTCAGAATTCCCAAACTCAACCATTTTCTATTGTGCGCGAAACTTTCAAGTTGCAACTTGCTCCAGATTAGTAGGGACGATTTTTTCAGCAAAATGCGTTTTCGGCTGGAAATGTTCGTTTTCAACCTCGAGTTTAGAATGCAGAAATAAATATCAGGATCGACCACCCTTTCTAGAAAAGGCTCCCGATTCGAAGACCCAATAATTGTCTGCTATTTTGTACAAAACTTTCAAATTTAAACTTTTTCAATTAGTAGACTCACATGGGTTTAAATGAGCTCCTTTCAGGCTGGAAACTTTCGTTTTTAGACTCGAGTTTAGACAGCAAAAAATATATTGGGTTTCAGTGCAATTTTTGCAAAAAATTTCGATTTGCAAAGTTAACTATCTGCTGTTTTGTGCGAAACTTTCACGTTTAAACTTGCTTTAGATTAGTAGTTGCGATTTTTTTTACATGAAAGAAGCGATAGTTTTTAAACGCGAGTTTATAAAGCAAAAAAGAATATCAGTCTCGTTCAATGTCTATAAAAGTGTCCGAATTCGCCAACTCAGCTATTTTCTATTGTGCCCGAAATTTTCAAGTTTCTACTTGCTCCAGTTTAGCAGTGACGAATTTTTTAAGCAAAGTGCGTTTCTGGCTGGAAATATTCATTTTCAACCTCGAATTTAGGGTGCAGAAATCAATATCAGGATCTGGCGCGATTTCTACAAAAAGTTCTCTGTTCGAAGATCCCATTGTCTGCTGTTTTGTGCAAAACTTTAAAATTTACACTTCTTCAATTACTAGGTACGAACTAGTTTAAAGAAGCGCCTTTTATGCTGAAAACTTTCGTTTTTAGACTCGAGTTTAGACGAAATAAAACAATATTAGGATCTAGTGCGATTTTTACAAAAAAACAATTATCTTGCAGACTCAACTATCTGTTGTTTTGTGTGAAACTTTCAGGTTTAAACTTACTTTAGATTAGTAGTTACGAATTTTTTTTACATAGAAAATGCGTTTGTTTTTAAACGCGAGTTTAGAGAGCAGCAAAAATATCAGAATATCGTTCGATTTCTACAAAGGTTTCCGAGTTCCCAAAATCAACTATTTTCCATTGTGTGCGAAATTTTCAAAGTTTAACTTGCTCCAGATTAGTAGTTAAGAATTTGTTAAGCAAAGTGCGTTTTTGGCTGGAAATGTTCGTTTTTAACCTCGAGTTTAGAGTGCTGAAATAAATATCAGGATCTGGCGCGATTCTGATTCTGAAAAGGTTCTCAGTTCGAACACCCAATTGTCTGCCATTTTGTGCAAAACTTTCAAATTTAAACTTCTTCAATTAGTAGGTACGAATTAGTTTAAAGGAGCGCCTTTTAGGCTGGAAACTTTCGATTTTAGACTAGAGTTTAGACAGACAAATATATTCGAATCTTGTCCGATTCTCACAAAAAAAGTTTAATTTGCAGACTCAACTATCTGTTTTGTGCGAAACTTTCAAGTTTAAACTTGTTTAAATTAGTAGTTACGAAGTTTTTTACATGGAAGATGCGTTTGTTTTTAGACGCGGATTCAGAGAGCAGAAAAAATATCAGAATCGTCTGCGATTTCTATAAAAGTTTCTCAATTCACAAAGTCTTTGCCATTGTGTGTTTGGGCTCCAGTAATTTTTATATCCATTTTTTCCTTTCCAGAGCACCTCACTTCTGGTTTTGCCCTTCATCCCGGCCTCAAATTTGTTCTTTCCCGTGGGCTTTGTCGTGGCGGAACGAGTCCTTTATATGCCATCAATGGGATTTTGTATGCTTATTGGATATGGCTGGCAAATTACATCTCGACGAACTGGCAAAAAAATCGCCTGGACTTTTGTTGGCCTGCTGGTTATATCCCATGGGTGGAAAACTTACCTTCGCAACTGGGACTGGGAAAATGAATACACGATTTTTATGTCCGGATTGCGGGTGAATCAACGCAACGCCAAACTGTTCAACAATGTCGGGCATGCTTTAGAAAGCCAAGGTTTGGCCGCAGTTTTTTTGAAAATTTCCCAATCGAAATGAGCGAATGTTTTAGGTCACTTTGACGAAGCGCTAAAGTTCTTCAAGACGGCAGTAAAGGTGCAACACGACGATGTGGGCGCATACATCAATGTAGGTCGCACTTATAACCATCTGAAAATGTACAAAGAGGCAGAAGAGGCTTATCTGAAAGCAAAATCCTTATTGCCAAAGGCGAAACCCGGCGAATCCTATCAAGCCCGTATAGCTCCGAATCACCTGAACGTCTTCTTGAACTTGGCGAATTTAATTTCAAAGAATCACACCAGGTAATGTAATGCCAGCGTAGACATTGACTGGATAGGGGCTTTGAATAAGGCCCAGATCTTAGGAAAATCTTAATAGGAAAACGACGCGAATGCGATGTGTCATAAACAAACAAGTTATGAAAACGTGGCATGTTTACGAATGTATTAAAGGCCAGACCGGCACACAGCTCACGTCTCATATGGCTGTCTACATGGCTGGATATTTTACTTGTAATTCGCAACTTTCCGAACTTATTTTTAAGCAATGGGGACTGAAATTTTTGCTGAAATGGAGCTAAGAAACTTTCTTAATGCTGTGAGACACCCTGGGTGGAATATATTTATTTTTATTCATATCAGTGTTAATTTAGTGAGAAATTTCCTGTTAAAGCGTGGCAAAATTTATAGGGCTTGAAACAGCACTGGAGGCGAAATAGTTTGTTTAACTGCAGTTTACTAAAAACTCTCCCAAAAAAAAGGTTTAAGAATGAAGACAAATACCCAATCAGACCTTTCCCTGAGCTAAGAAAAATTTGCCTACAGGTTGGAGGAAGCGGACATGTTATACCGACAAGCCATAAGCATGAGGGCGGATTACACGCAAGCTTACATCAACCGCGGCGATATATTGATAAAACTGAATAGAACCAAAGAGGCTCAAGAAGTTTACGAGCGAGCTCTTTTGTACGACAGCAATAACCCCGATATATACTACAATGTGAGTCAAATATCCTTCGCGTCCACCGTGGAATGTTCATTTAAATTGCCATCAATTTTCCAGTTGGGAGTGGTGTTTCTTGAGCAAGGCAAAGCATCCCAAGCCTTGGCCTATCTGGACAAAGCCTTGGAAATCGACCCAGAGCACGAGCAGGCTTTGCTGAACTCCGCCATTCTGCTGCAAGAGTTCGGCAGGCCGGACTTCAGAAAAATCGCCAAGGAAAGACTTCTGAAGCTACTGATCAAAGACAAAAACAACGAGCGCGTTCACTTCAACCTGGGAATGCTGGCCATGGATGAGAAGAACATCGCTGAAGCTGAGCAGTGGTTCAGAAGAGCTGTGCATTTGAAGGTGGACTTTCGAAGCGCCCTGTTCAATCTGGCACTGCTTCTGGCTGATGATGTTCGGCCTCTAGAGGCGGCGCCTTTTCTGAACCAACTAGTCAAGTATCATCCTGATCATGTTAAAGGTCTGATCCTGCTCGGGGACATTTACATTAACAGCATCAAGGACCTGGACGCAGCTGAAAACGTAAGCTCAATCTCTTCAAGATCAACCTCACGATTTAACTAAATTTGTATGTTTTGCTGCTTTAGTGCTACAAGCGAATTCTGGAAATTGAGCCCGATAACATTCAAGGCCTCCACAACCTTTGCGTGGTGCACGTGGAGCGAGGGAAACTTTTCGACGCCCAAACCTGCCTGGAAAAGGCGCACCAACTGGCTCCGGAGGAGGACTATATTGTGAAGCATTTGGGAATAGTGCAGAATCGTATCGGCAAGCTTCATCTCAACGAAGATGTTGCTGACAATAAGGAGAAAAGCAAAGTCGTGTCCAATAAAAGTGTGGATGAAAATGAGAAGAAAACTGAGCCGGTGATAAGCAGGGACACTGAAAAACAGCGCTATAGTAGTAGGGTTGTAAATACTGAGCCAATGTTTCTCAAAAGCATTGACGATGCGAATGAGCTTCACAGCCTGGAGGTGGAAGAAGTGGCTTCGTCAAAAAAAGTTGAGCACAATACCAGCAGTTCGGATCGAAGGCGCAGTCGAGCGGACAAAGATGATCCCTCATCTGGAATGTCGTAGCAATGAATAGATTTGTGAATACATAGAGAGTAACTTATTTTACTAACTCGTTTTAACTTACTTGTACTACTTACATTCTCTTAAGAACTTTTATACGAGCTGGTGAGTATTGAATGATTGCATCATCCTGAGTATTATTTTTTCTGAGCCCCCTGATGGAATTTAGTGAGACTTTTTTCCGCATCCTTCAACACTCACAAACAGAAGCCATTAGATGTAGTGTTCATTCTGTGATACCCAGAATAATCGTTTTGAACTATTTTGAATTAAACAGTTGATGTATTCGGCTCTAAATTTTATACATAAGAGGAATGGCGTTTGTACTATAGTGACTTACGGTTTACAATCATTTTCATTGTTTTCCTTTCCCGTAGATTTTGAAAAAACTAGTCTTCCTAGAGTGTCAAAAGGTTTTCAATTGAAACGTGTTAGTGTCCACACATGTTTGTTTGCTTTTAGTTCTTCAAGCTTATTGTGATTATTTATTCCTACCTATTCCACTATTTTGTGATAGCACTTTGAAGCTCTAGCTAGGTTAAGCTCTACTTAGTTGAGCATTTTTCAGGATTTAAGTTTAAGAGGGTGTTGATGATTAATTCTTTTGACGGCATATCTGTACTACTTACTAGCGTAACGCTACGCAAATGTTTATAATAAATGTCTCGGTGTAAACATCCTTTAGCCAATAGCTTAGGACATCCACGTGGCCAAATTGTTCATACAATTTCATTAGTGTGTTATTGGAAATCAATATCCCCGATCAACAGCATTTCAGCTACAGTGGATTCAATTAAAAAATTTAGTTTTTTAAAGGTGCCTTGAAATCTTTAAGTAAGGCGGAACGAAAATGATTTTGTAATATAGATATAAATATTTTTCTATGTTGTGAAACTGTTCATAGATTAATGGAAATAATGTATAAAAATCTAATGTGAAAAGTATAATGATTGTCCTATGACTGAGTTGCGTTCTGTTAGTTCTTTTTCAAATTTTCTAAAAATTGTTAACCCCAAATATACACTTTTATAATAAAAATGTGCTGCATCTGAACAACTGTTTCATTTGCGTCCTATTTCAGAAGTATTTCTTGAGCAAAGATTAAATTGTAAAACTTTCCTTTAAAGTCGAGTGTCTGATGAGTGCGAGAATTATAAATGGAGATTGGTTTAGTTGGTTATACAATAGGGGCCAGATAATTTGCCAAGTTTGAGCTTCACATTCACCAAGCTGGCAAAAATCAGGATTCTAGCCGAAGTTCGTGAAACTTTTTGCGTCTTTTGAAACAAATGCGTCCAAACGAAGGTCGAACTTTCAAAGTGGCACTTGCATTTAAGGATTTACATTCATTTTACGGTCAATTTTGATTGAGCTAGCACTTTACTGAATTTTTCGAAGTCCTTCCTCTCAAACGTTGGCTAGCGATGGCGAAACTTCCAAGTTTCAAAGATGCGCATTTTGAAACTGATATTTACTGAGCTTGTAAAACACAGGAATTCAGGCGATTTTTATAAAACTCTCAGTCGTCGGTAGTCGAGTGAGGCCTCGTCTACCGATAGGGAAAATGTGAAGTTGGTAGTTGCTTTATGGTGCATGCGAATTTTTAAAGGTGGTTGCGCAGATGCCTAAAATTATCCATTTTAAAACTGATATTTACTGAGCTTGCAAAAACCTGTTGATGAAACTATTAGAATATTTAGCTCCAAGGCTCTTCTCACGATCGTAAGAATGTGAAATTGGCAGTTGCTTCACGCGGAAGATACTATTTCTTAAAGTTGGTTGCGGAGTTGTGTTAAATCATTTATTTTGTAACTGATGTTAACTGAGCTTGGAAACATCAAAGTTTTCGGCACTTTCTCTGAAACTTTCAAAATCTTTAGACTCAAGCCTGTTCTAAAGATACTCAAAATTGGAAGTTGGTATTTTCTCTATTTTGGAAGATACGAATTTTTAAAGGTGGTCGCGCATTTGTCTAAAATCATCAATTTTGAATCTGATATTTACTGAGCTTGCAAAACTCAGGATTCCAGGTGATATTCATGACACTTTCCGATTGTTTGGAACCAGGGCTCTTCTAACTATGGTAAAAATGTGAACTTGAAAATTGCGTCATCGTGGAAGATACGATTTTTTTAACTCATGTATTTTGAAACCAATATTTACTGAGCACCGACTAATTAGGCTTCCTGGTGATGTTCACGAAACTTTAGCAAGATCTAGATCCAAAGGTTGAAATATGAAATTGCTAGTTTCTTTACTTTGGGAGGTCAAATGTTCTACTGGAAAACGTCTCCATTTATAGACTGGTACTTATTTACTAATATAGCAAACGGTTAAATTCTGGACGATTTTCATGACACTTTCAGCCCCTCTCGACTCAAGAGTCTTCCAACAAAGTATGTAAAAGTAAAAGTATGCCACCCATATCCGTCCAAGGGTTTGAGTATAAGCATAAGAAAAATATCTTTAGGTAAAACTTGCTTTAAATCCGCTCTAAATAAGGCAAAACGATCGATAAATTCGGATCAGAAAAATCTAGATTTGGTATATTTTTCCATCTGCAGAATCGCTGTCCAACCAATTAATACGTCTAGAGAAAACTTTACAAAAAATGAAACGACAGTTTTCTTTTTTTGTTTCCAGTTTTCTACTCAAAAAAGCGACACAGTTAACATGTCAATCTAACTTTTTATGGATTTACTCCATTTATTGATCTAACTGAAGCAGCTTTCATTGGTGGAAATCTCGAGGGGCAATGAAAGGTTTCGATTCAGCCTATAGATGGCCAGAAGACACACTGAAATTTTTGATTGAAAATGAATTTTGAATTTGAAATTTTGAATGCAATTTGAATTGAAAATTTGACTGAAATGATTCAAAGACTCTAATTAAAAGCTGCAAACATTTATAAATACCTGCACTTCATTTGGCATAAAACAGCAACTTTTATTATTAGATACTACTAACGCATTTCAGTGTCCAATTAAGCAAGTTGTGTTTACGTGTAAAATCACCGATATGTAGGGAAAAATATGCGATTAAAATCCCTTTTTATTGCAATCCTTTGTGTGCGAAATTTCCCACTATATGAGGACGTTTTTAACGGATTATTAGTTACTTTTTTTGACTGCCATTGTGATTGATCCATAAAGTGGATTTCAAATGGGGATCTAATTCTAAAAAAGGGATTTAAGCGTCGATCATTCGAATTGATCTGTTGCCGATAATGTGTATTTCTGCATTTATACTACAAAGGATTCAAAAATTCAACGTTCTTATTAATTTTAACAAAATAATTTTGATATAATTTAATTAAATATACTGTGGCTCGCCACTGAAACTTACATCACAATTATACAAAATTGAACGCCAATTTTGTTCGGCATTTGTAATCATTCGATTTGTTACCTTTAGATAAATAAACAAAATTGGTTACACCGCATGATAAATCGATCGATAATTGGAGCCATTGAATAATACATATGCTCAATTTTTCTGGGTAGTGTTTCCAAATACGTGTAGCTAAATAGGGGGTGATTTTTCCTATCTATTTGGCTCCAATGGACAGTGATTAATGGAAATGACTTTTTCATTGCATGCTTTATGCGAACCACATGTAATATTTTGGATCAAAACTTTGGATTTAAAAAAATTAACTGAAGAATCTTGTAGGCAGTTGATAGTCAGGATTCTTAGTAGATCGAGATATTTTGTTCCTGATTTTTTTGTCCGTTTATTTTGTTTGGAATCCTCGTTTTTTGTATCTCTTTGCGATTGCCCAAATATTCTTGCAATCTCCAGTTTTTTTTTATTATTATTTACTTGGAGCTGAGATTCCTAGATCGTTTTCTTTCATCCGTTTTTATGTTGCAATTACTCCTCTGATTTGCAATGAAAACAGATCTAGGTTTTTTTCAACATTTTTCGCTAGCCATGAATTGTCCATGATTTTCCTTCAGTTTTGATTTGTTGGCACAATTAGTTTTGGGATCAGAATGAAAACCTTCGTTGCCAAAACGTAGAACTCTCGGCGATTTCCAAAGAACTTCTGCTGCCTTTAGACGCAAACGTCTTTTAAAAGTGATGAAAATGTTAAAGTGCTCGAAAATGCCAATTTTTAAAGGAAAATTCCTACTTGAATCAACTGAGACCAAACGTCCATTTTCGCTCAAATCGGGATTTCGGTCCATTCTTCTGAAACTTTCAATGTTTGTTTTTTGGTGTAAGCTACTACTAGGCAAGTTGTTACTTGCCTCAGAGAGCAAGACGCGAATTTTTAAAGCAAAAGGTGCAGGTGCCTAAAAATATCCAACACGGAACTGTAATGTTTTCACAAGCTGGTAAAAATCAGAATTTTGTGGGATCTGAATCAAAATTTCATCGTGACTAGTATGAGGTCGTGTGTATGGATGGTGAAAATTTCAAAGTGCTACTTGTTTGAGTTTGGAATCGTTTGTTTGGAGACCGATATATATTAAGCTGGTAAAAATTAGGATTTCAAGCTTTTCTTGTGAAACTCTTCGAATGTTTAGATGCAAGTGTCTTTGAGCGATGGTAAAAAGTCCAAACTGTTACTTGTCGGTATATTAGCTTCAAATTTTTAGAGGAGCTAGCGCAGTTGAGTAAAAACAGCTAGCAAAAGTTTTACTTCTTTTTGCGGTGCTGGAAAAATCAGGAATTACGAAATTTTTATGAAAATATAGAAGATTTTAGCTTGAAGTATTTTCTAAGCATCGGAGGAATTTCAAATCACTGCCTGATATAGTTGAAAAGACACGAATTTTTCAAAAAGAGTGCGCAGTTGTGTAACAAATAGCCACTATGAGATCGATATTTTCTGACTTTGAGATCCATATACACCTTACTCGCAAAAGAAAATCAGAATATATTGAGATTTTGGTACAAATTTGAGCATCATTGCTGCGAATGTCTGCTAAGAGCGGGGAAAAATTCAGATTTATGTTTGATGCAGTTTGGAAGAGGTTGAAAAAGTTGAGCTGYTAAGGTTGAGTAGAAACGTCGGTTTTGAGTCCAATAWCTTTAGTCCTGGAAAAACTTAGCATTTAGGCCGATTTCCATGAAYCTTTCGTAATCTTTAGTCTAGAATTTTCTAAAGATTTTCGAAYTGCTGTCGGCTTTARTTGGAAGTTACAGATTTTCGTAATTTTTCTTGTGCTTATTTTTGACCGGAAATATACTTCTTTGGCATCTGGTAATTGTCGGCTAGATTTGTTTTCAGTTTGGATTGTGCAATTACTCCTGTGGCATGTTTTGAAAATATATTTCTGTTTTTCTTTGCTAAGTTTTTACTGTGGTTCGTCTTCAATTAAAAAGATATTTTTTTATTCTCATCGTCTTCCTTCCGTTCGTTTGGTTATTTATCATGCTCAAATTGTAAAATGTTTCCGGCCACCCAAACAATTGTGGATAATCCGCCAAGGTAGTAATCAGCTTTAGAACATTTCCATGTATTTACTGTGGTAGAGAGCGAGTTAATAGACATCCGGACAAGTTCTCTCATATATTCCCATAACGTAGACAAGGTCTAGGCGGCAGAAAACAGAATCGTAAATGCAAAACATTTCCTGGCTATAGAATATTTTATCTAAGCGATGCAGAGAGAACAGGCCTGTAATAAAATCCATCTTAAAATAGCAAAAGCAACAACTTTGCAGGATAAAATTTAGCAAGGCGAGACGATGTAGAAGCGTCGCATTGCGGCCGAGCTCAAATAATATCGCTTCCGCCGAAACCAGTAATTTTCCTTTACCATATAGATTTTCCCATTTTGAAAACATTTTAATATCGCAATGGGAATTTATTGCACTTTTGCAACCGAGCCCGATCTATCTGCTGTGTCTTTTGCATTTTGATTACCAATTGATTTTCAATTTCAAACCCATTGGCTCGGCTGAAATTGCCGAATTTCAACGATGAATTACCGAACAAAAACACCGCACTACACAATCATTAGTGAATGTTGCATTTTTTTTGCACTCAACGCTTGTCTAATGGCGTAAAGTTGCAACTTACAGAATCGGGTTGAGGGCGCA